AAGTAATATGAAGGAAATACATAGAAATAAATTAAGTAAAAAAATCAAATGTAATGATGAAGAAATACATATTATAAATAAAAAATATTAAAATGTAGTAATTTAAAAATACATATTATAAATTATATATATATATATAAATAAATATATTAATAATAACATATATAATATTGTGTACATACAGAAACCCAATATATCCCAAACCACCTTTGCCTTTCTTTTTCACCATGAGATCGTACTTACTACTGTAAAACTCGCTTTCTTTCTTGTATTCTATTCTATTTTAATCCTCACCAGCACATTCCATTACTTTACATTACATTACCTTACATCACATTACCTTACCTTACATTACCTTGCGTTGCGTTACGTTACATTAGATTACGTTACGTTACGTTACATTACGTTAAGTTACATTACATTGTATTTTATTTTATTTTTTTATTTTACATTGTATTTTTTTTATTTTATTATATTTTGTTATATTATATTATATTATATACGAGCCTTCCATGACTTGTTTCTCTAAAGGTTTATTTGCCTGCTTAGAAAATAGCGGACAATTATATATTTTATTATATTATATTATATTATATTTTATTATATAAAGTGTAGTGCTTTATAGGGTTTTCGAGCACTGATAAAACTGATAACTTCACATGTGAGATTATGATAATTTCACATAGAATTACTGTCATGTAATTCCTCCCCAGTCCCCTGGTAGAGATATGTCTTTGAGTTAGAGAATGGAAAAGTATTTCGATGATTTGAGGTTGAAATGAGCTTACTGCTGTTCTTTAAACACGCCCCCGACGAGTGACGATCATCATACGATCCATCACGATGTTCTTTACTTGAACAGAACACGATGTTTGTGAGTAAGAATTACTCATCATATAAATATGGCCTAATTTTTAAGCTTTCATACGTATTTTAAAATATACATGCTGCTATTGTTATGTTTCTATTTATGTTTTCAAGAGTTCTAGTTGAATTTCTACCGATTTTGAACTTTGACATTGTGACTTAATAATTTGTTTCAATTAGCCTTTCTCTTCTTTTGAGATCTTACTTCTCGGTCTCTTTGGACTTGCATACACTTTTGACGAACTTAACGAATTTTAAGTAATTTGATTTGTTTCAATTAGCCTTTCTCTTCTTTTGAGATCTTACTTCTCGGTCTCTTTGGACTTGCATACACTTTTGACGAACTTAACGAATTTTAAGTAATTTGATTTGTTTCAATTAACCTTCTCTTCTTTTGAGATCTCACTTCTCGGTCTCTTTGGACTTGCATACACTTTTGACGAACTTAACGAATTTTAAGTTGCAAATTATAATTATATTATATTATTATATTATATTATATTAAGAACTTACTGACTGAGAGTGAGGTCTATACGGTAAATATCAACTCTATATTGTAAATATAATTTATTTATTTTCAAATTTATTATTTTCCGTTTAAGACTGTAATCCGTTTTACAGTTTATATTTCGTCGGTTTTTGCCGTGAGTTTTGCGTTGTTTCACAGGGCAATAAGAATTGCGTATTGCCCGTGGGCAATACGGGAAAATTCGGACCGTCTGCAGCCAATCAAATTTCAGAATTAACAAAAACAAACGCTTGCCATTAGATATTATACTATATTAAGAACTTGCTGAGCGATAGCGAGGTCAATAGACAAAGACAGAGGTTTGATATTTACCGTAAAGACCGAACAGTCTAAGTTAGTAAGTTTTTTATTATATGGAATAATTCATGCATATATGTAACGATTAACTTTTTATGAGTAATTTTAATGATAAATCTCATCTGGGCACATGACACCGAAACATCGGCCTAAAAGGAAAAAACACTATTTTGTAGAATATAAATTTATTATTTTTATTTCAAATTCAATTTTTCCGTTTAAGAATTTAATCGGTATTTCAGTTTAAATTTAGTCGGTTTTTGCCGTGAGTTTTGCCTTGTTTTCAAAGGGCAATAAGAATTGCGCATTGCCCGTTGGCAATACGGAAATATCCGGACCTGTCAGTAGCCAATCAAATTGTACAATTAACCAAAACAAACGTTTGCCATATAATAATATATTACACATTATATTATATTATATTATTCAGGTTAGAGACTGTTGTGAGTGTTTGCTTACAAATAAACCCCACGCGCCGACCATACAATGTACGAGAATTTTGAATTCTTCGCAAGTTTTTTACTATTTACAAGAAATGAATTATGTTCTTACCACTACATTATCATACAAAATATCCCGACCTGTCATTTCTCACATCGCGTAAGCTTTTTCCCACAGAAACTACACAAGGCAGCGCATTAAATATCGTATAAAACAAATTTTTCATCTCAAACAATTTACGTAAAAATTGTACATAAAAAATTCCATTCTTCTTGATTTTATAAATTTTGCTGACGACTGCAAAAAAACCCTCGACTGTCCGATGGATATTACGATGAAAAAGCAATGATAATTTTGGCGAATAATGATATAATTTTAGTTTGTTAGCCAAGATATCAATTGGATTTATGATCAGTAGGTCTTACAAGCAAGCGATAACGAGAAATGGTAGGTAAAGCCGAGCAGGCATTTAGTAGTTTTCATCAAGATGATAAAATAACACGAGTTAGCTTTAAATTGGTTATTTTATATTCGTACTTTTATGCCAGGATTAAATAATAGTGTGAGAACTGTTTTAAAAGTTATTTTACAAACGGTACCCCGCAGTTTCTTGAAGTTTTCGATGTGCATTTTGAACAAGATATCAAGCATCTAAATGTTGGCTACAAGACTGGAATTTTAATAATATACTGATCTTCCAGGAACATACGGAAAGCCAAAGGCTACCCAAATTCATCAAAATCCCGTTTTACAGAAACATTTCTACAAACACTGTCACAATGCATCTATAAATTAACATTATGAAACGAAACACATGTACTTCTGGGCTACCTAGAGCCAAACATTTAGATGTTTAATATCGCTGTTTAAATCGAGGTTGCAGGAAGCCACACTTTGTTGCTCGCTGTGTTTTTGTATATTCATAGCGTGTTAACGTTGTTGTCAAATTACTTCATGTTTGGCTCGTTTGTACGATTTTTATTATGCACTAGTTTTGAAGGATCGAAAACTCACTCGTTCGCCACGCTCACTCGTTCGTGCATAAAGATCGTACGTACTCGCCAACCATGAAGCAATCTCTATATATTATATCATTGTTATATATTATATTTTTACGTTATATGTTATTAATAATAATTATTATTATTATTACTTTATAATATAAACGTAGTTGCTACAATTTATTAGTTGTCTGAGTTGCATGTATGAATTGACGAAAGTTGAAGACAATGAAAGTTAAATATTCTAGCTGTAAAATACTTGTTGTTGTTTTCTTACTTAACAGCCAGTTGTTTAGGAACGACGAAGATTTAAATTTCTAAATCCACCTCTAAACACATTTTTATTGCTTTTAATACGAAATGACAATTTTTAAAACAATTTACAAAACTAAAGATTCAATATATGGACATCTTAAATTTTATGAAATAAAGATTTTATTTGTAAATATCAAAATTTTGAAACATAACTATTTATGTTTATAATATTACTATTTTTATTAAAATTACATTATTAAATTATATTATTGTTATTGTTATATTCTTATGATATTATTTTTTCATGTTTTCTCACTTATTATTTCTATACTATAAAGTCAGTTTGGGCGTGGCCAAAAGTGCGGATAGAGGTTTCTCGCAGGTGTTTCGACGGATTTTATGCGAAACTTGGGTAGGGTACTTAGGGCGTGGCTTTTTCTTATTTTTCTTGTTTTAGTGCTTTAACTATTCAAAAATTAATAAAGTTTCTTCATTGTTAGTGTGTACGAGTATCAAGTAGCCGGTTAAAAACATATGAAAATCAAGTTCCCCAGTGAATAACTATCTCCCGTAATTGCAAAAAAGTATTAAATTAAGCCACAGCATTTGTAAGTGTGAATAAACAAGCGAAAAAAAAAAAAGTAAAATATTCCTTATTATTGTAACCATTTATAGAAAGAGATTATTGTCATACAATAGACATCTTGAGCTGTACGAAGCCATGCAACGAATGTATAGAGCGCCGTCCACCACGCAGAAAAGTGTTTTTTCAACCTACCAAAAAACGCTGGGGAAGGCAATAAAATTACTTTTAATTGTTTGCTTTGGAGCTAAGCAAAGAAAAATCTCAATTTAAGAGTACTAAGGTTTAATCCGGGCTATACTGATCAATGGGCAATTTTAAAATGACTGTCCGATGGATAGCGCTCTATTGCAAGTTGTAGACTTTTCAGTGTTGCTTCGGAGTGATTGTGAATTGGTTTAAATCCGGTCCTTATCGTTTCTATTTGGTCATAAATTTTGCTGACGACTGCAAAAAAACGACTGTCCGATGGATATCAACTATGATATCAATGATGGAAAGCAATGATAATCTTGGCAAGTAATGAGATCATTTTAGTTTGTTAGGCAAGATATCAATTGGATTCATGATCAGTAGGCCTTTCAAGCAAACGATGACGAGAAATTGTAGGTAAAGCCGTGCAGGCATTTAGAAGTATTCAGCAAGATGATAAAATACACGAGTTAGCTTTAACATTGGTTTATTTTATATTCGTACTCTTATGCCAGATTAAATAGTAGTGTTAGAACTGTTTTTAAAGCTATTTTACAGCGGTTCCCCGAAGTTTCTTGAAGTTTTTAATGCACATTTTGAACAAAGATATCAAGCATCTAAATGTTTGGCTAGAAGACTGGAATTTAATAATATATCTTCCAGGGAACATACGGAGAGCCAAAGGCTATCCAAACTCATCAAATCCCGCGTTTTACAAAAACTTTTCTACAAACACTGTCACAAATGCATCTATAAATTAACATTATGAAACGATACACATGTACTTCTGGGCTACCTAGAGCCAAACATTTAGATGTTTAATATTCGCTGTTACTATACCTATGTTCCTATTAGTTAACTGTCCACATTAAATCAGCGCGAGGATGACTTATTTTCCCCTCTTTTCCAACACCCACGAACAAAGTCTTTTACGTGCTTCCAATCACGCTCCACTTCTTTGTTACTCTCCAAGAATGCAACACACTCGTCTTTCTTGGGAGATGTTTATCCCGTATGTGCTTTGAAAACACCGCAAACACCGCATTTTTTTCTTTGTTGTCCATGGTTTTCTCTCAGTCCGTTTTCGTGTACCTAATTGAAAGAAGTGCATCCGATTATTTAGCAATGCATTCGGCAACCACCTGTAAGTATTTTGTTTGTCACAGTTTTACTACAATAGTTTATGATCGAAAAAAAAAAGAAAGATCATAGTAAAATATCTCTTCTTAATTATTATACACCTCGTGGGTATTGTCGTTCCTGATTGGTAGGAAAACGCCGGTTTATTCACAATATTCTGAATTTACTACGTAATTTCAGCTGCTGACATGCTCAGCCGTCCAATATATATTTTTTGAATCGAACTTGCATACAAAAAAACCAATTATTGGACTCTCTCGTGTCTAAACTAGAAACCGAAAAGACGTGTTTTGGGGGTTATATTTGAACTTACTTGAAGGTGCACATGGTTTGCGTTCTGGTTGTTGCAGTTGCCGCATTCGATGATAAACAACTTGCTGTAAATGATCAGGTTAAAACAAGGTCGTTCATCAAAGTGGTGTAAGACTAATTAATATAAATTATTGAAACAGGATAATACAATATACAGCTAATAATGCACTTACCATCATTCTCAAAAGGCGTTTGTTTTGCGTTTTCTTCAAATTCTATTGGGAGAAAATACAATTTAAAAACAAGACTTATTTACCTCCACGAATTACAAATACTGAAAAAAGTTGCTATAAAAAGTCAACATATAGTGATTTTCAAGTTTTAGTAAATTAAAAACTATTTTCCTTACCTGACAACCGAATTTCACGAGGATTCTTCCTTTGAAATGATGTGCTCGGCCTTCATCGACAGCCATGAGTAAATTGCCGACAACGGCCAACTCTAATGTTGTATCAGGTAGTCGGTAATAGTCCTTGTGCACGTGAATATCATGGCCAAGATGTCTCGCGAGCCAGCCCATTTCACTTTCGCCCATGTTACCAGTTGACTAATGGTTTGCAACATACTTTCGCAGATTCGTTGAGGTAATCAGGCGAGGCTCCTTTAACTTTAGTTGGCCACATACCCGCGTAATGACGTCGTGGCCTCTCAACGACTTTTTTGATTTTCCGTTGTTTACCGCAAAGACAAACGGGTTGTCTTTCCCTACTCCTCCCTCACTTCTCGTTTTATTGAGAGCAAGGATTCCTTTCTTTACGTCATCGGTAATTATGACAGGAACTTTTCGTCTCCTTTTCCCCACAATCTCCACCATATCAAATCTGAGAATACAAAAAGGTGTTCTGTCATATTGAGATGCTACAAATTTAATGTTTATGAGGCCGTCTCTTGTCTCAACTAAGAACAATTGATTTGATTTTAATGTTAGGAAACTGAATCAATCCTGCATGATATGGCAATAGTTAAATTGGTTGAAAATCGTTTTGCAAAATAATCATTCAAATCTGAGAAATCTAACCCTCTATATAGGTTATGTGCCAAGAACGAGGTTGATATGATACTTGAGGCTGATCAACCGCACTGATCGATCATCGATCTGTGAAGTAACTGATATTCGAATATCTTCCTTATAACATAGGCATCGTGCTAAGTTAATAAGAAGTTATGTTTATAACCGTTTACACAGCTCCCGTTCGCTGCTTGAAAGCGACTCCAAAATTTCTTTATTATGAGCATTGTTCCAATTCGGGCGTTGCTCGAAGTGCTAAGCTGCATTTGAGCAGCCTCACCACCTGCAGAAAGATAAAAATATTTCTGTATGAGAATACATTAGCCGCTATGTTGGCAGCTATCATGACATACATAGTTCAACAATATTGCGTCATTGGATTCCAACTGAGAGGAATAAAATTGTGAAGAATGAAATGATAACTTATGTGTCTCAGCTATTTTCTATTTCACTACAAAAAATATGCTTCACTCAATATTTCACTTTAAAATATGCGTTATGAATTTTAGATGAATTTGCGTTTCTTCTAACCTAAAAGATTGCCCGTTTAGAACGAAGATAATACCGACGAAGATCTTTGGCTCGAAAACGAATCACAGTACTTTGAACTTACAAACTAAGATTAACTATTGAAATACTCTTATGAATGTTTGGTTTCGAAAGCCTGCAAGACCTCTAATGAACAGGATTTAACTTAATTGACCTTTCAATCACCACGCTAAGATATACACTTTCAGGAATACAAGTAATTACCTCTTCGCTTATTAAACATGATAAGCCTTGTAAGGCACACCTCCGCCAGCTTTCTCCATCTCTCGACGGTGACTTCCTCATTTACTTTCTTTGTCAATTCAGCGATTTTTTCTATCACGTGTTTTCGTATGCCAACAGATCCTCCGTAATTGGAAGAAGTTGAGGAGCGTTATGTTTCTTTACGCAAGGTGGTCAAGCGCGGCCTGGATATCTTGTCATGCCACTCCGCGTCATACAACTGGGGCAAATCGTCTATCTCCGCTTTCTTTCCAGAATTTGCTCTCTTAGTGCTTTGCAACGAATTATCACTGCCGCCTTTTCAACTCGTATCCGCAGTGCACCGATGTTGCCGGAGCTTTAAATCTTTTTTGCGACGTGGTTCCATCGTTCTCCTCGTACCCTCCAACTTTTCTGGCGCATTCCACCAGAGTGTCGAAATGCCGCGGCCTCAACAAATCTTCCAGGGAGGCCTCCGTGTTCCCCAACAACTTTCTCCCTTCGATCAGAGCCCTCCCAAGAAGTCTCATTTTCTGCGACACTTCACTTGCCTTTTCCGCTCCCCTCTTTTTCAATCATGTTGCTTCCCAGTGTTAGGATGGTGGGATCACCTCGCACGGCAGTGCTTACGACGTCGTAAGACATGATCTTAAGAACCTTTTCCGAGAGCATTTTGCTGCACCCGCTTGGAAGCTTTCCTGCAGCCAGCAGGAAACGTCCTTCGTGTTTCATACATCTGGACGTTTCTTTTCTCTCGTCTTCTTCCCTAAACGGGCATTTTGGGGCGTGTCGCCAAAGCTCATCCCCAAGAAAAAACCCATGGGCAATATTTGCAAGGTAGATAATTTTCAGGGTTACCTGATCCCTCATCGTTGGCCGTTGGTCTTCTAACCACTTTTAACTCTCCTTTCTTCAACTCCAGCACCCGCATATTATGGTTAAAATTGCCCATTCTACAGAGTTTTTCAAACTGTTTTTTTCTCTTTTCATGGTTTGCGGGATGCTGAAGAGCGTCCTTCACTTCTTTCTCTTCCCCATGCACTTGTTGCAGATGCCGCGCAATCTTCGCGTATTCTTTTTCGCAGAAAAAGCAAGAGTGAGTTTTATCATAAACCCGGGCACCTTCAGGTGCTAAATTGATGTACACTACAGAAAAGAGAATTGTCATAATTCAGTACAGCGTATATCAATTACAGCTCTATTAAGACGTTCCAGTAGAGAAGTCCAGTGGTTAAATAAATACATATATTGATTATGAAGCATTAAAAACGTCTATTGAATAAGGTTAATCATGATGATATAAAGATTGAACACTATCTTAAATAATTTGAATTTCATCTAAAGTGTCTCCAAATGAATTGAAAACGTGAAGATGTGCATGCAGATCAGGACTTGGTTGCTGATAATTTAATAATCTAGCTATTTTTGTATATTACAAGTTTACGTAAACTTACCAGCTGAAGTAGAAGCAATTTGTTTTGCCAGTTGGAAAGATGCCTCAGATTCTCGACCTAAAAAATCAATTATATATTTAAATTCATAGACATCGGTAGATATGTAAATCTTATGACATATCTACCTCTCAAACTAATTTGAAAACTCTTTCCTGATTGAAATGTGTTACCTTTCACATCGTCGTTACCATCAGTGCCATGTAAGTTTTCCTAAGGAGTGATAACAGGTCATTAATACAGAAACAAAACTATATTTCATCACGGCCGGGGATATAGTTTCTCCAGACATTTTTACAGTTGCACATGACCTATTTTAGAATGCTAAACAAAATGGCTCGTTCGATCATATGAGTATCGAAATTGCAGTTTTCTTAATAATTATGATGCTTCACCTCATCATCGTTTTCATCCACAATTTGACCAGCTGGAGTAGAAACAATTGGTTTTGCAGGTTGGAAAGATGCCTCAGATTCTCGACCTAAAAAATCAATTATATATTTAAATTCATAGACATCGGTAGATATGTAAATCTTATGACAAATCTACCAGTCAAACTAATTTGAAATCTCTTTCCTGATTGAAATGTGTTACCTTTCACATCGTCGTTACCATCAATGCCATTTATGTTTTCCTAAGAAGTGATAACAGGTTATTAATACAGAAACAAAACTATATTTCATCACGGCCGGGGATATAGTTTCTCCAGACATTTTTACAGTTGCACATGACCTATTTTAGAATGCTAAACAAAATGGCTCGTTCGATCATATGAGTATCGAAATTGCAGTTTTCTTAATAATTATGATGCTTCACCTCATCATCGTTTTCATCCACAATTTGACCAGCTGGAGTAAAAACAATTGGTTTTGCAGGTTGGAAAGATGCCTCAGATTCTCGACCTAAAAAATCAATTATATATTTAAATTCATAGACATCGGTAGATATGTAAATCTTATGACAAATCTACCAGTCAAACTAATTTGAAATCTCTTTCCTGATTGAAATGTGTTACCTTTCACATCGTCGTTACCATCAATGCCATTTATGTTTTCCTAAGAAGTGATAACAGGTTATTAATACAGAAACAAAACTATATTTCATCACGGCCGGGGATATAGTTTCTCCAGACATTTTTACAGTTGCACATGACCTATTTTAGAATGCTAAACAAAATGGCTCGTTCGATCATACGAGTATCGAAATTGCAGTTTTCTTAATAATTATGATGCTTCACCTCATCATCGTTTTCATCCACAATTTGACCAGCTGAAGTAGAAACAATTGGTTTTGCAGGTTGGAAAGATGCCTCAGATTCTCGACCTAAAAAATCAATTATATATTTAAATTCATAGACATCGGTAGATATGTAAATCTTATGACAAATCTACCAGTCAAACTAATTTGAAAACTCTTTCCTGATTGAAATGTGTTACCTTTCACATCGTCGTTACCATCAATGCCATTTATGTTTTCCTAAGAAGTGATAACAGGTTATTAATACAGAAACAAAACTATATTTCATCACGGCCGGGGATATAGTTTCTCCAGACATTTTTACAGTTGCACATGACCTATTTTAGAATGCTAAACAAAATGGCTCGTTCGATCATAGAGTATCGAAATTGCAGTTTTCTTAATAATTATGATGCTTCACCTCATCATCGTTTTCATCCACAATTTGACCAGCTGGAGTAGAAACAATTGGTTTTGCAGGTTGGAAAGATGCCTCAGATTCTCGACCTAAAAAATCAATTATATATTTAAATTCATAGACATCGGTAGATATGTAAATCTTATGACAAATCTACCAGTCAAACTAATTTGAAATCTCTTTCCTGATTGAAATGTGTTACCTTTCACATCGTCGTTACCATCAATGCCATTTATGTTTTCCTAAGAAGTGATAACAGGTTATTAATACAGAAACAAAACTATATTTCATCACGGCCGGGGATATAGTTTCTCCAGACATTTTTACAGTTGCACATGACCTATTTTAGAATGCTAAACAAAATGGCTCGTTCGATCATATGAGTATCGAAATTGCAGTTTTCTTAATAATTATGATGCTTCACCTCATCATCGTTTTCATCCACAATTTGACCAGCTGGAAGTAAAACAATTGGTTTTGCAGGTTGGAAAGATGCCTCAGATTCTCGACCTAAAAAATCAATTATATATTTAAATTCATAGACATCGGTAGATATGTAAATCTTATGACAAATCTACCAGTCAAACTAATTTGAAATCTCTTTCCTGATTGAAATGTGTTACCTTTCACATCGTCGTTACCATCAATGCCATTTATGTTTTCCTAAGAAGTGATAACAGGTTATTAATACAGAAACAAAACTATATTTCATCACGGCCGGGGATATAGTTTCTCCAGACATTTTTACAGTTGCACATGACCTATTTTAGAATGCTAAACAAAATGGCTCGTTCGATCATACGAGTATCGAAATTGCAGTTTTCTTAATAATTATGATGCTTCACCTCATCATCGTTTTCATCCACAATTTGACCAGCTGAAGTAGAAACAATTGGTTTTGCAGGTTGGAAAGATGCCTCAGATTCTCGACCTAAAAAATCAATTATATATTTAAATTCATAGACATCGGTAGATATGTAAATCTTATGACAAATCTACCAGTCAAACTAATTTGAAAACTCTTTCCTGATTGAAATGTGTTACCTTTCACATCGTCGTTACCATCAATGCCATTTATGTTTTCCTAAGAAGTGATAACAGGTTATTAATACAGAAACAAAACTATATTTTATCACCGCGGGATATAGTTTCTCCAGACATTTTTACAGTTGCAAATGACCTATTTTAGATTGCGATCATACGAGTTTCGAAATTGCAAATTTCTTAATAATTATGATGCTTTACCTCATCATCGTTTTCATCCACAATTTGATCTACGGGCCATGCGCTGAAGCTATTCACCTCAATTTTGCCCGAATGAGTTGGATACTCTGCCCAGCACCGCACGTCATCTCGGCATAGTGAGATAATTGACACGGCTACCCAGCCATTCGTTAACGTATAGTTGTGGACCATCTTGAAATTTTTCATGACTTTGCCCGCTCCAACCTTCTTGTTATCCCTTCTTAAACTCACTTGAAGTAAAAGTATTCAATGTTATAATTCTCAGCCTAAAATTAATTTTATCATTCTTGTGAAAATAAATACAATTTCTCCCTATCTGTGCATTAGAGAGATGTGTATAGGCGAAATTTCAAACATCACTTTTTAAACTCACCTATCCCATCTGTGGTTTTTTCGCTATTTTTCAAAAGAGTACCCTAGAAAGATAATGTATTAACTTGGGTCAAGGACTGATTTTCTCGTTAGGTTAAATGTTACTTGCGTTTAAGGATTTTTTTTCAACCTACCTCACTACTAGTACTGCATTCGTTTTCCTTTTCGTCTTTTTGTTCATTGTGGAATATGTTCTCAAAACGAACCTAAAAGTGATTGAAATTAGTTTCAAATTAAAAGTGAATAAAATTCGGCGATTCATTTTCATAACATCCGATTTACGTCGGCACGGAAATCTCGTCCATGGTCTCGATTGATTAATTTTCTAAATTGGTTATTAGACCAT